CTGGGTACTAACTGGGGGTACAGCGTTTTGCACTTCCCCTATGCCGAGTTGAATGCAACCGTGCTCGTCCTCAATTCACGGATACAGAGTCGGACACCTTTTTGGAGATTTACCGCGGACAATATGAGCTCAGACTTACACTGAATAAGCGATCGCGGCTGATCAGCGGAAGTACTTAGGGAGGATGTCGGGTTCTGTTTGGCAGGAATTTTTTGTTACCGGAACACCGCATTAGTCTGGAGACTTCACTGCGATGTGATTATCGCTGCTGGCCAGCAAATCAAGCAAATGTGTCTGAGCTCCATCTTCATCGCCTGGTATTCGGCAAAGAGTGAATGAATCGAACGATAGAAAGGAGGCACGCCTTTTATCATATGACAAGCATGAAAATCATAGATACAGCTGTAATGAAGGACAATTCATTCAAAAAAGTGATTGTGATTGAACATGAGAAGAAAACGGGGTAGGGAATAGTGTTTCATGATTTTGTACTTCTCATAAAGAAGAGGATTTGAGCGCTGCCGTTTGAAAAATTTCTACAATCCCCTGATAAGAGTGATTTACCCGCCTTCGCAAGCAAACAAAAGTGGGTGACGGATCAACTAGGTTTTGCAGAGCGAAGACCGCAGTTATAGCGATGGAAAACGGACAATGAAGCGTTAGTACGGCGATGGGGAAATGGTTGCAGGCTAAGGAGGGCTCAGGGGCAAAGTGGAGAGAGAGAGTGAAAGATGAATGGGGCCTAGAAGTGCAAACGATAAACAGGAAACCCCTCCCCAAGACATGACTACTTTGCACTTGGGTCACGGAAAGAGTGAGTAGTCGGGAGAGGGTGAAAAACCGCTTCACTCGGAAAAGGCCGGATATCTTCCCGAACTCACGAGATGTAAGTTAAACAATAGGAGGAGGAGAAAAACTAGAGACCAATGAGAACTGTGCATAGATGTGAAACCAAATGAATACAAATCAAAATACGGATCGGAAGGACAAGGTTTACGTCTGGGGGGAAGGGGGCAGAAAGGGAGAAGAGATTACAGCCAAAAAAGAAACGACCGGATTTTTACTACGCATATTCGTGCGCCGATTTTGGTTGTTGTCTTTTGGCTGCCCATTTGGATGAAGAATAGGAGAAGACAGGAATGTTGAAAGTGGAGTCGAAAAGAAAATGGAGAAGTTCAGTGGTCTAAGGTTGCAAAGAAATTGAGAAGATACAGGAACGCCACTGTTAACGACACCCAGCCATATCACTCAATGTAGCTAACCATCGATTACGATCATCCCGAGGTCCCCAGTCAGGAAGCCTAACAGGACATATGTGACCCAGTTTCCTGGTTAGGGTTTTCATACCCTCGTGCCAGGTCTTAGATTGACCACCCTTGGTCTTTTTCCACTCGGCATCTGCTTCGGCGAACGTCGCTCGCCGTGGTAACCTACCTGGTGACATGCGTAACACATATCCTAACCAACGTAATCTATGAAGATCGACCACTTGCTCCAGTGGGCGACCGTATTTACCCAAAACTCTGCCCCTAACCTCGGCAATGCTCATCCGGCTACCCCACCAGATTCACGCAATGCTGCGTAGACAGCGGTGTTCGAACACCGAGAGTCTATCTTTATCCTGTTTTCTTAATGGCCAAGTTTCTGCACCGTATAGTAGGCCTGGCCGAACTGTCGCACCATACACTCGACCCTTCACAGACAGCCGGATGTCGCGACGGCACCGCAGATGTCTCAAGTTGGCAAATGCCAATCGAGCCTTCTGTATGCGAGGAGACACTTCATCTATGATGCGTCCACCGGGTGATATATAGCTGCCTAGATAGCAATATTTGTCTACTTCCTCTACTACTTCCCCATAGGGTGAGACTGGGTGCTGGATCAACCCAATCTTGTAGTAGCATTTTACACTTTGAAGGTGCAAAACGCATACCGCTGGCATTCAACTCATCCAGAAATGCTTGCAACCTACCTGGATCTTCAATCGCACGAGGATAGGGCTGTTTCCATAATCGAATCTATAGCAAAGTTGAATAGAAAAAGAAAAGGGGGCAACCCTGACGAACACCACTTTCCGTGGTGAACTCAGGCGAAAAAGTGCCGTAAGTCCGGACTCGACTTCGGCTTTTAGTATAAAGCGATCGTAATATTGAAATTAACTTCTCGGGCACACCTTTCAGAGAAAGGCAGCGCCAGAGGTTAGAGCGGTCCCTAAGAGAGTCACATAACGTCCCAATCGGAAAGCGGAGCAGGATGCACTTGGATGTGCAGTGGCTAGGAATGCAACCTCAAACAGAAAGGTCGGATGATGTAAAGTCGGCTTAACTCCAACTCCGAGTCGGGCGATAACCCGCGTGTATTATCCTTCCGGGACGGTTCCGGGGAGACTATTGGGTATACCAAGAATATTTCGGGGTATTTATGAAACTACATCATTCGCCAAAAGAAAAAAAAGCCTACATTGAAATAATCGTAATACTGTACATTGGAGAAATGTCTTATTGAGAATGCAATGTTTTCTTGTGAACAATGATGTGATCGTTCGGTCCGTCCTAAAGAACCGAAACATTTGATAGCTTCGTGAGGCTTGTCCCACATTGCGCATGCTGGCAAACAACCTGTTCTAAGCTGGTTTTCACCCACTGAGTGTGGTTAGCAGTGTAGCGCGATATCCCTAATTATATTTTACGGTGTGAACACTGACAGTTACAGTGAAGTACGCATCAATTCGTTCACTTGAGCAAGCAAACACACACACATTGGACAATCACGATGACATAATAGCTGTTGCCGACAACGTCGATAAGCGGTTACAGAAAAAAAAAACAGATTTACACAGTGACAAGAACCAGGGGAACTTCTTTGCTTTTTGTGTCTTCCTTTCGTGTGACCGTGTGCTCAATCAGGGCCAACGAATCGAACTCATATTTGTGGATTGGATCAGTTGGATCCAATGGCGGAAATTCGGAGTCCACATTCTCCTCCGGTGTGTCCAGTATGTATACGGAGATACGATCGAGAAAGGTGCTGCATGTGTATAGACCAAGATGAATGAATGGATGGGGGGTGAGGTGGAATGGAAGAAAGGCAGGGGGAACATAAAAGTAATAGAAGCAATGGCAAGATTACGTTAATTCTGTATTCGTTAACAGGTATTTTTGAATGATTGACAACTGTTATCTTTGATAGTTCCAGAACTAACACCATCTCCATAAACCTCGGTTCGTTAAACACAGCGCTGTGTTGATAAACGTGTCAGGAAACTGCTCAACTCGATAGCAACGATTAGTACAGTTCGCTTCGCAGTATTTCGCTATCCGATAACGATGGTGATGTCGACCTACCGACGAATTGCTATCGATTNCGGGGGGGGGCGGGTTTAACTTTCCACGAATATGGGATCAAGGGAAATAATGTACATATCGCGCTTAGTTTGAATCCACGCACACAGTATCGGCATGATATTTGGTTGGAATACAAAAGTTGTGTGTACCGTCTCAGGACGAGTAGTTCTGCATTAGGGCTAGAAACCCGGACTGGAAATGAATGCAGTACAAAAAGGCAATCGGTCATGACTGATGAGGGCTGAGGAAGTACGAGGAGTGTTGTACGAAACAGAGCAATCTCTAAGGGTGCTAATTCCAGTTTCGAATGGAGAACCACAAAGTCCCACTAGGAGAGACGTGGCATGGCACCGGACGAAAGCGAGCGTACCAACCAACTGTCCTTGTGTGAAAGTTAATTATCAACCGTCAAATAAGAAATCGTTTTTCGCCGATGCGATGGAATAATTGGATCAGTTATACTGGGGTTAGTTGTTGCATAACGGGTTTTGTTACGACCGAAAACTTCGTCAAGACGAAAATTAGTTGAAGCATATCTGTCGTCACGGGGACAGTTTTGGTTCAGTTCATGCATACGTCAACATTGAACCAATGACGGCACACAGTAAGCACGTGTCTCGTCCCGTACTGTACACCATTCCCAGCCGAAAACACAGGTTAACAGACGAGACAAGGTGGAAAGAACCATATTAGAAGAACTGGAATAATTCGTACCGCACATACATATTCTAACCCGGAAACTAGAAACAAAGAGGGGTTTGATAGTCATGCTGTTCTCCTTTGTGATATATCTAACGACATGAATAAGCTTCAGTGCACTGTTACACGATGGATATGGTGTACAGGCCCTGAGTGTTCAGTTTTTTGCTTCATCTACATTGAACAATCTCGCTCCCTGATCAAATCAAGAAATCTTTTCTTTCTCACCAAATGAGGTCGACAACCACACCACAGAGACACACCTCTCCATGCCTCGCAGCGTGACAATCATGATAAGTGATCTTTGTTCACACAGACGCCTGCATAATATCTACATATTGTCACGGAGCGAATTGGATCCACATAAGTGAACTAACATTGAACTCAAAATGACTAGTACGTAGTGCCATGGTTGCTCACTGATCACGTTGAAGCGCATAGCTCAGGTCAATTACCTAGTGGACCATACACTCCAGAAGCATCCAATCCAATCCAATCTCACTCCAGTTAGAGCTCATCCGTGTAGTGAAGTTTCCGTCACTGGTGCGGGATTTGAACTCCGGATTTCTCGAATACGTGTGGCCACTGTGACAACCAGCGGACACGGAGTTGAAGACTGACCGAGTAAACGGTGGAATGATGTAGCGGAATTGATGAGTTCGTAGTGTTGAAAGAGGTGGACAGTGTAGCCTTACAGTCTTGATTCCGTTTGTTATGCGCAGGACGAGTTTCGTCGATAAATTGAACCTAATCGTCCACTACTACTTTTACACGCTGGAAATGATTTGCCTTTTACATGGCAGAAGCATTTGTTCCATTATCCATCTGGATGTTATGTGAAAACCTTCCCGGTGTCAGTTCATTCCGAGACTAGGAAATATCCACCGAGAATGATAGACAAAGAAGAAAGTTTAATTATGGCTAACAGTGGCAATATTTCGACGGAAAGAGAAGGATCAGTTCATGATAACTGAGTCCACCTAGTTGCTGACTGCAACAGAATAAATTTACCTATTTTTAGCGTACATTTGGTTTGAAACGTTGGGTAGAACGATTTTTGAGATACAGCTCAGTTTTGTTTTTCGCACCAGACCTAAAAAACACTATCAGGAATGTAATATAAAAAGGCAGATACTAATCCTTTGCATAAAATGGAATCATTTTAGTTTCGCAACCGAAAAGGACCGGAAACAAGTGAAAGGAATCATCATTATCGTTGTACAGCGAAATACAGGGAAGCGAACTTCATTGATCGCTGCCAAACTTGAAATGCATACACATTGGGGTTTGATGGACGGGTACTACTGGGGTGTCCAGCCATTAAGCAGAACAACTAGGGTTCTCAACCAAAGCCTTCAGTTCTGACAAGAACTCAGCCGTAAGATAGCGGGTGAAGCGAAGTGGAAGCCCTTTGACTTGGATCAATCGCACATTTATTTACACCATCTTTTACCGATTGAAACGCAAATTCTAGTCGACCCCCAAACCTGGACGACCAGGAGACTGGATTTCGTGCGACTCCTACCCTTCGACTTTCTAGGCATGATTAGATCTTCGGTTTGACAAAAGCCATCCTATGCAGCTCGTTGGGTCAGAGAAGTGCACAAGCCATCACACCACGTCAAAGGTGCTGTCTCGTTGTGATTGTGAAGGGAATGGATGATTTTTATCCGAAAATTAGGGATGCATACACAGAAAAAGATCGATGACCTTAAAGTTCGATGTGTTTCAGTTCTCGAGAGGATTTGTCATTAAAAAAGAACACTTGTCAACCAGGTGGTTCGACTCGAAAGCCTTCTCTGTTTGAAGTGTGTGACACCGAAACTCTCCTGTCCCCGCTCTACCCCCTCCCCCTCTCTCTCTGCCCATACACTCATTGCGCACGAGAACGGGTTTTTTCTCATTTGCTTACCTGTCAAACCTGTCCAAATCATCAAACAATCCCGGTGGAGCATCTGCTCGAGTGAGCTGATTGAAATATTGCCAGAAAACAAGACCGACAAATTGCTTCACAGTGGTATTCAGTCGAGGCTGGACACATAGAGCAACCCGTGGAAAATGAGAGACTCGCCACAACCAAACAGTGAATTGTCTACTGGCCAATTCTAGCTGACCAGGTCGTGCGGTTGAATAATCCGGTACAGCTCCCGTGGGCCGTGCATCGTGGACACAGTAATCGGCAAACAAGTTATTCCGTGCCAACTGACCATCTGCTTGAGCCTGCTCCAATGCCAATGTGAGACAGGATTTTTTCGGCGAGGTACTCGCGCTCGGGGGTGGAGATGTCACTGTGCTGATCGGAAAGTAATAGTCCACATCAGTCTCTGGGATGGGGACAAACAGGATGGAACAATCAAAGAGGAAGTCAGTAATGATAATAAAAAAAAAGAATAATTGCTACACTACGTAAAGACAAAAAAGCAGAACAACCCACATCACAGTGCGTACAAGTAACGTTAAAAAATCTGTCCAACCAAAAAGAGACGTAAAAACCACCCACACCTTCCTGTGCGTGGTAGTGGTCAACGGTTCGATTGGCTATCGAGGTGTATTGGACAACTTGGACGTTCGACCCCGTCCAAAGGGTGTATGATGCGATGAACTGGACTCCAGCCCCCAATGGAATGCGCTTTTCACACAAGGTCCAACTGCCTTGCGGGTCAGGCTGTGGCTTGTCAAAGGCTCCGGTTGTGTATTTCCGCAGAAAATTCACCTGTTTTAGACTGGGTATCATGTCCTCGAACAAATCATGGACCTTTTACTTTGTGTAAAGATTATTGTATCGTGATTCGTTCGACACACTGTGTGAACTCAGACATGAGTGGATATATACATATATATATATTACCTATTTGGAGCTTGACGCACAGAGATGTGGGCGATGTAAACACCTACGCTGGAACTGGTTCAAAGCATTACCTTGACTAATGAACCGCAATGAATTTGTGCGAACTGCGGGAAACTTGTTGCTAAAAATGAATTTTGCCAGCTGTCACGTTCCCTAAAGACGAATCTCTATATCCTGGGGAAAACTGAATAAGTTCTGAAAGAAGCAAGGCGTACGCCAGTCGAAGCGACGTCCAAATCGCCTGCTACGGGAAATGAACCATAAATACGGTCTCAGGTCTTTCGAGAATTGTTCACTCATCAGTAATTTGATAGCCTGAAAAAGGTTACCTGATTTAGTCTGTCTGTGAAGCGTACTTTTGGAGCAAACCACATTCATATGCAGATTCTTAAAAGCCACAACGACGAGACTGCACCTTGGAGTAGTCTGATGGCTTGTGTGCCTCCATGACCCTGCGAGTTACACAGGATGGCTTTTCACAGCAGTAGATTCAATCATGACTGAAAGGTCAATGCGTAGAGGCCAGACGAAGCTCAGTCTCACAAAGCCAGTAGCTCGGGAACCTCCTGACTTCCTTGGTATACCCACATCCGCCCCTGAAAAGGTCACTCCAGCAAATAAGCACGGTGAAGGGTAGTTTACTGGTCGAAAGGAAACCGTTAGATTGACAACGGAGCGAGGAACCTGGGCCTTTCTTTCGAAGGTGGGAGATATTAACTAGACAGCTACCACTCGCCCAAGCTATACACTAACAGCTTAAACCAGGTCCAAGCATACGACACTTTTTCACCCAAGTTCACCACGAAAAGTGGTGTTCGCGAAGGTAGCCTTCCCTCTCCGATTCTTTTTAAATTTGTCATGGAGTTACTTCTTGAAATTCTCCTATCCTCGTGCGAGCGAAGTGCTATTCATTTACTCCCAGGTGGCAGCCTACTTGATCTAGAATATGCAGACGACATCGTTCTGCTAAGTGACGATCCATATATGTTGCAAACGCTTCTAAAGGGTTTGAGTGCTAGTGTGGCTGGTGTTAGAGGTGGCGGTTGCGCAGTGGTTTAGTCGCTGTCATCGGCGTGCTTTGGACCCTAAGGTCCGAGGTTCGAGCCCCGCCACCGCCACCGCCACCCGACTTTGGTGGTAGGCAGCTCTGCTATCGTCCGGTTAATACCACGCCTAGCCTATCGGGGCCTTATGTGGTTCGCCACTCCAAGTTCCGGGGCTTAGGTTGCCGATTTCAACCACGGAACAGCAGGTCCTCGTGACTATGGGGTTTATCCCGTCTGCTGTTCATCACACCTAAGTGTGTAATAAAAAAGCCATCTTTAGTATGCGTTTTGCACCTTCAATATATAAAATATTGCTCCAAGAATGGGTTAGTCCAGTCCCCAGTTTCACTCTGACAGGGAAAGTAGTAGAGGAAGTAGACTAGTTTCGCTATCTGGGCAGCTGTATCTCACCTGGCGGACGCTTCACAGATGAAGTGTCGGCGCGCATACAAAAGGCTCGATTGGCATTTGCCAACTTGCGAAATCTGTGGCGCCGTCGCGAAATCCGGGTGTCTATGAAGGGTCGAGTATATGGTGCAGCACTTCGACCAGTACTGCTCTACGGTGCAGAGACCTGGCCACTACGGGAACAGGATAAAAGTAGATGATCGGTGTTCGAACATTCGAACATCGTCTATGTCGCATTGCATCAGTCTGGTGGGGTAACCGGACGAGCTATGCTGAGGTCAGGTGTACAGTTTTAGGTAAAGGCGGTCGTCCACTGTAACAAGTGATCGACCTTCATAGATTACGTTGGTTGGGACATGTAATACCCATGTCACCAAATAGGTTACCACGACGACCGATATTTGCCGAGGCAGGCAGAAATTGACGACCCGTCAAACCCTTCAGTGAAGTTTCACTTACGCCTTTCTGGGGACCCTGAGGCTGCGG